AGTTTGTCTCTGGGACCCGGGTGGGGAAAGGAGAGGGGGGGAGGTTTGCTGGAACTTGGGAGTGTTTTGCTCCCATTAAATTCATTCAAACCACTGCAGGGATCTAACAGCTGATTCCACAGGCTTTCTTTTTTTTTGTTTTTATAATTTTAAATAAATAGGTTTTTTTCCTTTTCACTTTCCTCTCCATCGAAAAGTTCATCTCTGGGACCCAGGTGGGGAAAGGAGAGGGGGGCGGGGTTGCTGGAACTTGGGAGTGTTTTGCTCCCACTAAATTCATTCAAACCACTACAGGGATCTAACAGCTGAGTACACAGGTTTTCTTTTTTTTATTTTTATAATTTTAAAGAAATAGTTTTTTTCCCCTTTTTCTTTTCACTTTCCTCTCCATGGAAAAGTTTGGGACCCGGGTGGGGAAAGGAGAAGGGGGGAGGTTTGCTGGAACTTGGGAGTGTTTTGCTCCCATTAAATCCATTCAAACCACGACACTCTCCCTCCCCAAAATAAGGACGAAACACCCCAAAATAAACCAGAAACAATTCCAGAAATACATTAAAGGGAAAATAACAACAATCAGCTGATAGCAATACAAACCCTCAGCTACCCAAGGACATTTTTGGGTTATTTTTTCCTTTCTCAGAAGCTGTACGTGTTCCTGTTCCAAGAGGTGCTGGTTGTGACGCGGCCGGTGATGCGGGGCGAGCGCCAGGCGTTCCAGGTTTATCGCCAGCCCATCCCCGTGCAGGAGCTGCTGCTGGAGGATCTGCAGGACGGGGACGTTCGAATGGGCGGCTCCTTCCGAGGGGCTTTCGGCAATTCTGATAAAGGTACAGCACAAACGGGGTTTGGTTTGGGGGGAAATGGTGGGGGTTTGTGAGCTGGCCTGGAAAATCTTCCCAATTTCTGTGAATAACCTGAGTAACTTGAGTAACTAACTTGAATTGCTTGAATAATTAACTTGAATAATTAACTTGAATAATTAACTTGAATAACTTGAGTAACTTGAGTAACTAACTTGAATTGCTTGATTAACTAACTTGAATAATTAACTTGAATAACTTTATTAACTTCAATAATTAACTTGAATAACTTTATTAACTTGAATAATTAACTTGAATAATTAACTTGAATAACTTGATTAACTTGAATAATTAACTTGAATAATT